GGGGGGGGGGCGGCTAAGGCTCTGGCACCTGGGCCGTGTGTATGTGTGGGGCGAACTGGTTAAGGCCGGTAATGCGAGTCGCTGCTATATAGAGCCTTTGGATTGGTCTATCATTATTCTTGGCACACATCCCTTTCTTTTCTCCCTGTCTGTCTCTCCCCTGCGCCTCCTCCGCCTCCTCGCCCTCCCTCGCTCCGTGGTTCTCTCCGTCTTCGAGTTATTGCAGCCGTAATGACCCACCTTGCTCTGAGCTCAGCGCCTAGCAACACAAACACACGGACATACACAAGCAATGCGAGGAAATACGTGCAAATGCACCTCATCCACCCCCCCCCCCCCCTGCTTGCTCGGCGACCCCCGTCGCGCCGGACCGTCTGGGAGCAAAGAGCTAATGCCGGACGTCGATTACGCTCCCCTCTCCTTCTCCCACTTTCTTCCTCCCTCCATTAACCCAACATCCCTCATTCTCCATCTCCATTATGATCGCCGCCTTTCACCAGCTCTCTTTATTATATCCTCTCCCTTCACCTCTCCTCCTCCGCCTTCTCTTCTCGCTCCCCCTATTTTCCACTTCTCACTCCCTCCTGCGTTTCCTTTTTTTTTTTTTTTTTATCACACAAGTTCAGACTTTAAACACTTTTTTTTCCTCCCTTGGTCCATCTTTTTTATTTCATTAGTGAATTCCACCTTGGAGAGAGAGACGTTCAACAGGTCAGAAATGAAAGAACAGGTCGAGGTGATAACATAGTTGGTCTTATATATGCTTTTTTAACACATTTTTTGGAACGGTTTTATAATGCTTCAGAGTCTAGACACGATGATTTCCCACTAAACTGTTGCACAGGTTTTATGCAAATTTCAGAAAATGTCAGAATAAAGTGTGAATCAGTGCGTGTTTCCATCAACTACCTAAAGGAATACATTAAAGGAGATCTGAGAAGATTAGATCATTAATGGAGCACCAGTAACTGACGCATCGTGGCACTTTATTGCTGCTTCCCACATAAGACATTTTTTTTTTTTATAAATTAATTTTTCCCTCTCCATGTGTATTGCATCCACTCCTGTCACCTGTGCTCTTTTTATTTGTAGTTTTAGTTTTTAGTTTTGATAAAACATTCAGGCAGTTTCACTCAGGCTGTTTGAATCACCATTGCAGTGACCAGTGAGTGGATTAAGGATGTAACGCAAAGCTACTATCAACTCTCTGTCTATGTCTGTCTTATTTCACACAAATATTCGTATTCAAACCTAAACTGAGTGGGCGGGGTCTAGATTAGGTGAACTAGCAACATGGACATCTTAGATCCTGCCACCACTTTAACGAGGGGATTTAGCAGTGTGTGTATGATGCCTGTGTGGTTTGACTTGACTGTGTCAAGACTCTGAGCGGGAGGTCAATATGACCCGATAACGTATTAGCTTACAACCCCAGAGAGGATCAGATGAGACAAACAAAACGATCGTGAACAACCAGCAATATCCCAGTTAGTTATTAGCTGAGATGATTCACACGGAAAATTAGAAATGCTGGCATAACTGTTGTGTCGGGAGTAAAAACAAGTGCATGCTAACATGTCCTTGTGTAAGCGTCAAAAATGTGTAAAATCCCTCATTATGTGCTTGATGTAAATCACTCTTGTAGTGTGTCCAGAGTCATCTGTCTCATAGTACAAACAATGCATAGTATTGTTGCTTACTTCACACATGCAGTTCTCACCTATGTGAGGTATGCACGAGTGATTGCACAATGTGTGAATGCCCCGATTGACACGTTTGGTATTGCACACACATTCACCACCGAAAGCAAAAATAAAGAGAGGGAGGCATGAACACAACTGAGAGCAGATCATTTCTATTCCGCTGACTGACTTTGAGGTAGAGCATGAATCTAGCCTCTCTCCATTTCCATCTCCTTGTTCTATTCCCTTCTCCTCTTTGCTTTTCAATTATTCTTTTCTTTTTCCTCCTTGTGTGCCTCCCCACTTCTACCCACCCTGCTCCATCACTCCCCTGTCTCCTCTTCTCTCTTCCCTCATCTTTCCATAATTCTCATTTCTTTCTGTCTCCCTCTTGACGGAACTAGAGAATCCAGGCCACCCAAACTAATGACAATATAACTCTCTGAAATGTCGCCGCCGGTCCAGCCCTCTCTCCTGCAGCCCTCTCCCCTTCTCCCCTTCTCCTCCCTCTCTTTTTGCTTCCTTCTCCCAAGGTAGCTGTTAGCCATCCATTGCCCGCCTACAGCACTTAGCTCGGAGGGCCGGGCGCAGAGACCGGGAGGAGAGCGATATAGAGCGGGGGGGAGAGAGAGAACGATGTGGAATTAAATAGAGAGATCCACACATGTCACCGCTGCACATTCTCCATCTGTCGCCTCCCTCCCTCTCCCCGCAGCCTCTCCTTTTATCCACCAGTCTTTTCCCTCCATCCATTTTGTGGATGAATCCGCTGTGGATTATCGTCATTTGGTCTCCTGCTTACCTGGGTTTCTGCTGGTGGTGCGTCCTGCTGGCGGCTCCTTCTTCGGGGGCAGCCCATATTGGCCTGTGGAGGGGAAAAAAAAGGGTGGAATATCAGCAGGGTGGAAGAAATACTAACACAACAGCCGAGGCTCTCGGAATTGGAACCAATAACATCAGCAAAGAGAGAGCAAGCCAGAGAGAGAAATAGAGACGGAAGAGCTGTAATAACGTCTTTCCTCCCTTCCTTACCCATTATGAGAGAGCACATATTGATTAGGCTTCTATGTGCCGTGTATGCGCACTTTTACATTTGATTGAATGGGAAACTAAGGAGAGGCCGCTTGTTGTTTTGGCCAGAATTAATTTACACAAGGCCATAACGGCTTGTAATCTGTAGTCGCTAAATCAGGCCATCTGTCTAGCAAGCCCTCAGTAATGGTGATGGCATTAAAGTGCAAACACACACACACACACACACACACACACACACACACACACACACACAGATGCAGCTAATGTACAAGTGCCACTCCTCACCGCTGAAAGAGATGGTTCAGAAAATAATCATTTTGTTCACTTCTGAGCCATCTGGCCAACAGTAGGCTGCAAGAATAGGGTTTTATATCGGGATACATGACTACTCAGCTATGCAGTTTATGCAACATTTTAAAAAGAAAGTCCGTTATTGGTCGTTGCGGCAGCAGGGGGAGAGCAAAAATGGATATGACCACGGGGGTGCTTATGGATGAAACTGTTCAGTAAATCCACACACTACATCACCCTCTATGCGCACAACTACTGATTGTTGGTGTGCGTGCACAGCCGTCAACCTATACATGCTGACATTTAGAGAAGTGTAAAGCTATTGGCCGGCAGCTCCCTCATGGCAGTCAACCAAACAGAAGTTAGGGGCGGTGCTGTCTGGATCAATAGAAACTGCTGTGTGGTCGGCAGCGGAGGGAGGTTCAGGCTGTGTGTGTGTGTGTGTGTGTGTGTGTGTGTGTATGTGTGTGTGTGTGACAGAGAGCAAGCAAGATAGATAAAGAATAAAATAAGAGAAGGCAGGTCAATGTATGTGTGTTGGGCAAGGGTATAAGTGTGTGTGTGTGTGTGTGTGTGTGTGTGTGTGTGTGTGTGTGTGTGCGTGTTCCTCGGAGTGAAGCAGAGCAGCATATCTCATCAGGGATCACCATGAGGCGGCACGCCGCTTATTTAGATGACAAACAACACAGACGTGACCTTTCAGCCACATAGCAGATAAGACAGGAAGACAGAAGAAGAGAGAAAATAACAGAGAGGGGGACTGAGAGGGGAGAGTCGGAAGGAGAGGTGGCAAGCATGCAAAGTGAAAGGGAAGTAATGAGAAATGGGAAAAAACGGAATTTGAAAAGGAAGCGAGCAATGCTGCTTTAGTGAATAGGGGTTAAAAAAAATGCAAATGCAGAGGGAATAGAGAAGAGAGAATGACGACAAACAAAAAGATGTGTGTCTCACTCAGAACTTCAGAGAGTTGTGTAAAAGTGGCAGAGGGGTTTGAACATCAGTGTGTGGGAATCGTAGCGTTGCCCATGTGGTGAATGTGTGTGGTGTTTCTATTGAACTGAGCTGACTGTGCTGATCTTATTGGCTGATAGAGCCACATTGCAATGTGTACCTACTGCACACAAGGCCTGATAACACGGGACAGTGTGTGCGAGCTGTGTGTGTGTGTGTGTGTGTGTGTGTGTGCATGGGGGGGGTCGTGTGAAGGACAGGTGCCTATTATGTGTAGGAATGCGCATGTCAGTGAAAATGCTTAAATGGGCCTTTTTTGTTGTTGCCGCTTTTCTGAAAAGCCTGCATGCGAGGGTCATTACCTGTGAAACATTTTTTTCCCAAACAAATTAGAAGCGTGTGCAGCTACGAGTCATTAAAAATCACTGACTGTGTGCTCCAGCGCCGAATGGAGTCATTTTGTTATCGTGCTCCCGCTGGCAGGTCAGCCGTGTGGGGAAATGTGTGCCTCCGCTGTGTACGTGTGTGTCCGCGCAACCTGCATGACATGTGCTCATGTCCTCGCATGCGTGAGCTTAGGATTATACCTGTAATGTAGATCCCGCACACGGATAGGCGAGTTGCAAAGTGTGTGTGTGTGAGTGTGTGAGTGTGTGTGTGTGTGTGTGTGTGTCCAGCATGAGTCAGTAGTAGTTAAAAGGGAGAGGGAGAAGGGAGTCAACAGGGCTCATTAGAGCTGACTGATCCCACACTTCTCTGCTGTTCTCACCACTTAACGAGCCCTAATATGCTCAGAGAGAACACACGCGCACAAAGAAGTGAGTGCATACGTGTTTTCGTTGGTGTGTGGGTAAGAAAAGAGGGAAGAGGCTGCATGTCAGATGAGGAATGTGTACCGCTCTGTGCTGTGCAGATGGTGTGAGATGCAGTGGGCTGGAGCCGACAGCTGCAGTCGTACCGTGTGTTGAAGGTATAGTTGTGTTTTGAAGTGGGGTTGTATGAGGTACCCCCAGTTTGGAGAAACAGACAGGAGTACCGGCACGGGAGCAAAGCGATGTACTGCTTGGGACGGGGACGGCAGGAAAACATGTTTTCTGCCCCCCAAAAAAATCACATCAAGTGTATTCTATATATAGAATATTTCTCTACTTTGCCTTGCCGTCAGACAGCCCGTTCTACGGGTGACTGAAGCCATCCATAAATGCTTTCTTCACAGCCACCAGACTCCAATCAAAAAACAGCAATTTTACCTTGCAGAGCATGGGGGGGTATCTGATACACCGCTGCCTCGATTGGTTAGTTAGTTAGTGTTATTGTGTGACTTTAGTGAATCTGAACTAACCGTTGAAAACATCAAAGTCACACAATAACACAAACAAACTAACCTACCGAGGCAGTGTTAGACCAGCTACTCCCTGTGTTTTGTTTTTTTAAATGAAGTCTGGTTGCTTTGAAGAGAGCATCGCTAACGGCTTCAGTTCCTCGACTGTACAGCTGTCCGATGTCAGCTGTACATATAGTGAACATTTAAACTGATATTGATTTCCTTAGATGTCTAAAACATGTTTTGCTGCTGCCCCCCGTCCACAGCGGCACGTTGCTTTGCTCCCGTGCCGGTGCGCCTGTCTCTTTCTCCAAACTCCATCTACTGTAGGTATACTACACAGACTATGGATAAGTACCTCATACAACCCCACTTCAAAACAAGCGATTGTGTGTGATGAATGAATAATAATGTGTGTGTTATGAGGGAGCACGTGAAGAAGAGTGGTGGACTCCAAGAGTTGTGCATATGGGAGAGCTAACGCATGTGTGTGTGTGTGTGTGTGTGTGTGTGTGTGTGTGTGTGTGTGTGTGAGAGAGAGAAATGAATGTAGGACAAGAGAGTTGACAGGACTTACTCTGCCCCACTTTCAGGACCACCTTCATGCCTTGCGTGGCACACACTCCGCCTCTCATGCTATCCAGGCCTTGACGCGTCCCATCTGACGTAGCTGGAGGGAGGGAAACACAAAATGACACAATTAGCCAAGTACCAGACACACACACACACACACACACACACTATTCATATGGTCAGCCATTCCGGAGTCAGCGAGTGATATTTGCAGAGGCAGCGATTTAAAACACCACCAGAAGCTCTGAAATGTCAAACTACGTGGCGGCGGCACTTTAATAAGTCCTCATTTAGCATTCCACTGGAATTCATTAACACCCCCGCCGCACCGCATGGTCTCAACCGCTTTCAGGCCAGTGCAATTGCTGCTGGGGCTGGGGAAATAGCAGGAGAGGGGGGGGTAATCTAGAGAGCCATAGACTGACTGATGGAAAAAAAAAAAGGGGATGGTAATCCAATCAAGCCCGCATATAAAATAAAATGAGGCCCCTGAGACAAAAAAACACTGTGTGTAGCGAGAAACTGGATGAATGTATGAAAGTATGTTGAATGAGTTAAAGCTCCAATGTTTAATACCTCATTACTGTCACTAGTGCTCATGTTTTAATTAAGCGAATTACAAGAATTCTTCAATTTCAAATTGCAGGACTGATGTGTTAATTCAGGCGATGAGGGATTTACCATGCATCTTTTTAAATGCTTTTCCCACACTGGAAAAGAAAAATGCAACAATTCAATCAGAACAGCGAGAGATACAGCGTCACATGTCAAATCAGCCTCCTAACCTGCTCCGGAGTCCAACGCGCTCTAGCGAAGCTATAGGAGGGAGGCCAAAAGAGGTCAAGCAGTGCTGGCTAAGTGCACAAGCAAGAGGGTTGTGTGGGCATGAATCCCTGTAGCACTCAAACACTTCTTCTTACATAAAGTGAATGCATTAAAGATCACTGGTCTGCAGGTCACAAGAGGCTGGAGGAGCAGGAACGGGAGGAGGAGGAAGAGAAGGAGGGAACACACAGGGAGAATCCGAGTGGTGGGATCAAAGAGTAAGAGTGGAGGGATCGAGACATGAAGACGCAGAGTGTAACGCAGAGTGTAAGAAGAGGAGAGAAAAGAGAGGGGGGGGGGAGGGCTGGAGAGATGAGAATCAAAGCTATTTGTACACAGATTTTCAGCCATCGCTCCGGCCTTTTCGATCACATGAGAAAGAGTTCTCATGCCACAGTGGCTAGTAAAAAAAGACAGTAAACGTATTTTTCTTCCTTCCAGCATCCCAAGACCCCAGCACACCAACTGTCTCTCCTTAGTTTTCCCTCTATAGCCCCCGGGCGAACCCTCACCTTGTCTCCTTAAAGAAATATATAAAATCATTTCAGCCCCTCCACTCAGCTTCAGGGTACAGATTAGCCGGTCTGAGGCGAGGCAGAGAGGCAGAGAGAGAGAGAGAGGGAGGGAGGTGTGAAAAAGAGGCAGCTTTACTTCTAACACCTCCGTCACTCTCTCTCCCTCCATCTCTGCAGGATGCAGAGTGTGAAAGCAGGAGGAGGAGAGACGCAGGCGGGGGTCAAGGCGAACAGCAGTATGGTGGGGACGCCAGGAGGCAGGGATGGATGTATAAAGAAGTGCTGCAAAAAAGTTCTCCTTCAACTTCTTCTACTATTTGTTGTGTTACCAACGCATTTTAAATCATAGTATTTGTTGCATGTGTGAGACCTGTGTCATATATCCTGTTACACTTCTGTAGGAGGAAGATTTAATCTGTTTCAATGAAGTTCAAGTGATTGGATATTAATCACATTTATCTTTTAAAATTAATTAACGACATACTCTCACCCAGAGGAATAGTGTATACAAACCAAATTAATACATGATTTAATAAATGATTTGAAAAGTATCATCTATCTTAATTATATTAAAGTGTAAATGCATCTTCGCGGTGAAGATGTCGCAGCTCTGATTGAAGGAATGGATGGAGGGCGGAGTCGAGTGGTCTGAGAGAGAAGGGTGGAGGACTATGATTTCTGAAAGTAATAACTCCTGACACACACGGGAGGACGAGAAGCAGACGAGGGAGGTGAGGAAGACGAGGGCGAGGAGAGGAGGATGAGGCCAAGCAGGGAAGCAAGGCAGCGAGACTGATTGCCTGTGACAAGCTGTTGGTGATATGATGGGGACAGTAGACTTTGTGAGACGCTGGAGATGACCCATGCAGAGCCCAGTGTACACCGGGAGGAGGAGGAGGAGGGAGGAAGACAAGATTCATAGAAAGAGGGGAAAGTGGTAGAACAGAGAAAAAGTAGAGCAGTTAAAAACAGAAACTAAGGAAGGAGTTTAAATGACATGATAGATAGAGAGGTAAAAGACTCTAATGTCTCCATTTTGGAAAAGTGCAGCAGTAATGGATACAAAGAAGAGGGAGACGGAGAGACTGAGAGCCAAATTGAACCAGGAGAGCCTCCACATATGGGATTTTGCAAATGCAAGTTATTTTTTTTACATCACAATCAACAGGTCACAAATATCACCGGGGCAATTTCTGTTAAAGCACTGAACCATATCACAAAATAATCCTCTTAAATCCATTAAACATGATACCAGTGCCCCTATTTCTGTGAATCTCTATTACACAGGAACAAAGCGGACAACGAGATCAGAAATATTCCCCCGCCACCAAAGTGCTTAACGCGGGAAACGCTGAAAGTAGATATCACCGAATCAAGGCTTGAATTATCACAGAACACCTGTGAAATCCTGATGAGAGACGAGAGATGGGGAGATGTAGGAAAGGCCTGCCTCAAATCTTTCCCACCTCACTTTGGGAGGACAGAGAGAGAGAGAGAGAGAAAATAAAGAGAGATGGGAGGAGTGTATAGAGCAATTTGGGATGAGATAAGAGGAGAAAGGAGGAAGAGCAGCGAGAGGGAGAAAGAGGGAGACAAGGGCGGGATGAGTAATTGAGACAATGATCAGCAGTGATGGGGGGGGGATGTGAAGCGCCAGAGGACAGAGGAGAGGAAGGGCGTCGCTCCGCCACCCTCGTTTCGACAGGAAGAACAGGAGCGAGAGGCGGAGGAAGTGGAAAAACTTAATTAATGAAATAATACCGCAGTCAACCTCGATCAGACCGCACAGCGCTGGGGCTCTGCACACAAAGGGGGGAGGCAGCCGGGCAAGCCAGGGGGAGGAGTGTGTGTGTGTGTGTGTGTGTATCTAGTCAATAGAAAAGACCTCAGAGCGGATGAGAATCTCTCTCTCTTGTTATTACCAAGGTCAGTGCATGGGCCAGGCCTCTATCCTCGCTGCCGAACGTGTAAGTGGAATCATAACTCGCATCGTTCATTCACTCAGGGGCTTAAACCCCCCCCCCCCCCCCAACGCCTGACATGCTCCGTGTCGACTGTCACCCGCTGCAGTGGACTATATGCAAAGCGACTTCATTTGCATTAAGACGCAGCCCGGACCTCAATGTTTGCCATCCCACTCTATTCCTTCCCCCTCCTGTGGTGTGCTTCGCAGCCCTGGTTATATATTCCACACATGCTGAGTGACAGCCGGCCTCGCGCAGCAAAACACTTGCTCCTGTGTGAGTGATGTGAGTTTGTGTGCGCGCCGATGTTGTTATTTCCATCACGTCCTTCTGTCTACTTTGGGACACGACTACACATTTCGCTTTGCTCAAAAGTCACAAGAAGAGCTGTTGTACTGCCTGATTTCAAGAATCTCTGGTCGAAATAGGATTTTGACATCACACATGCATGCATTCCATGTTTTGATGCAATGTGCTGTTTAAGGAAATGGAAATGGTTCTTTGGGGGGGCGATTTAACCATAAAATGCGCTGCACCAGGGCTGCATTATCAACCGGGCAAAGTTTGCAGCTTGCCCAGGGCCCCCGCAACTACAGGGCCCTCAGAAATGAAAACATTGTTTAAGAATATCCACAATAAATGACAGTATCGAAAGACAAGTGGCTACAACTTCATTATTGTCATTGTCACTTAATCCGGAGGTCCTGTCTCATTGAGGGTCCCGCTTGAGGCTGATTTGGGATTTTTAAATTAATGGCAGTCTAAAAAAACAAAAAATCAAATGCCATGCACATTGCTGTACAGTATTATTACACTAACACCAATAAATAAATAAAAATCACATTTTGTTTTCATTGTCAGAGACCTCATACTTTATAATGAATACATGTAAAAAATATTTGCATATCTACTTCAAACAGCTGCGTCCTTGTGTTCAGTTAATGTTTGATTCTAGCATCTATTGAGAATACTGACTGGAAATATAATTGAATGAAATATATATTTATTTTTACCAGAAGAAAAAACATTTGTTTTTGTTTGTTTTTTTTACATTAAAACGAGTTAAGCAGTGACATGCATTTATCCTGAAAGGCACAACTTGGGGCAAAATAAATTATAATTAAAATAAAAATTTGTGTTTAATCAAGAAATTTCCGACACATTCTGACGCTTCGTCACTTTTTAACGAGCCAACCAAGACACTGCACTACTGTCGCAGTACAAACACATGCCTAACGTTGTGGATTCAAACTACAACACTTGGTTGGGCGTAAAATAAGTAAGTTTTACATTTAACTAAGTCAAATGTAAAAAAACACAACATGTCATAAGATAAGTAACACAACATAAGTACGGAAAAAAACATCACAAACATCTCTAATATGACTCCAAAACAAGTCAACAAAGTCCTGTGTTTGCTTGACCCATCCACCTCCCCTCCGTCTTTCTTTATATTACGTCATCGCACTCCCAGAGCATCGTCTCCGAGCGTCTAATAACGATCCGAATGGGTTTACATTGCAGTTACTTGAAAGCCCAGTGTGTCTCATACAGAGGATGCCTTGTGCGTCGGAATCAGACGCCGAGGAGCGAGGAGCGAGACAAAGTGTCAGTATTTGACAACATGGGAACAAGACAGGCTGGTTTAATATGTTTTACTTGAAGATGACAGGATATATAATACACTGAGAGGAAGGAAGGGGGGTCACCAGGGCTCCCAGGCAGATTAATGTCACTTGAAAAGTTATGGGGCTTCAGGTTTTTTTTAATGATCGGAGAGATTGAAGTACTGGCTGTGTGGCCAAGCTATTACAGCAGTCCAAGCTCGCTACTGTAGCATACACACCTAAATTACACGCACATGCCTCAAGTTTGATGTGGGAACGTCTTTCCCGGCGACAGCAAGATTAAAAGGGAGCAAAACTGGGAATGTGGCGCGCGGCAAAAAGAGCAGATTAAACAACAAATGGAATGAATAAACAAGCACACGAGGGCCAGGGAGGAACAAAGCTCTCTGACGTTACACGAGCAAATGGCGGCACCCCCCCCCCCCCCCCGCCTCTGGCGTGTGACGGCGTGGTAGCCACGTCATGAGTGTGTTAGGGTCACCAACGTGATGATGATGAATGCAAATGCGACGTGAAAGACACAAAGTGGGTGGTTTTTTCAGCTTTATCCTCGGGCACACTGGCGCTGCATGCTACGGCTGGAGTGGTTGGAGTGTGTGTGTGCGTGTTTGTGTCAGTGTGGGTGCAAAGTGTGCCCATCTGTGCAAATCAACCTAAAACCAATGTGTTGCTTCACAGCAGCTTTGCCTTTAAAATCCTCCTTTTAGTTCCACTTGTTTGGCTTTTGGACCCCGCTCTGCAAAAACTAAGTCTATTACTCGGGCGGACTGGGAAGTGTGTGTGTGTGTGTGTGTGTGTGTGTGTGTGTGTGTGTGTGTGTG